TCGCTGTAATAAGATCAGTATTGTTCGTAGAAACAATATTTTCATTTGAACCAATAGCTTTAGCATTATTCATTAGATTAACACTATTATTCGTTATATAAAGATCAGTATTGTTTGTTGGAACAATATTTTCAGTTAAACTAATAACATTATCATTATTAGTTGTCACTATAGCATTGTTCGGCAACATAATAATATCATTTTCATTATTAGAATTTTGTAACACATCATTGAATAAGTCTTGAAAATTTGTCATATGTTGTAAAATAACTAAAAAACATAAAAAAATTAATGAAATTTCAACTTATACACTTACACGAACAATTTTTTTCCACAATCTCCAAACGTTGTTCAAGACCAAAACATTTCTTTTTCAAATCGGATATTTCAATATCCTTATCAATATCAGTACAATTCGAATACAGACAATCAATAAATCTTTTTTTACCAACTTTAGTTAAATTATCTAAATTAATAAATCATCTACAAACTAAATATAGATTCACATAATATTATACTTGTTGTATCAACATCATTGCTGTTAACATTTGAACCACATGGATTTTCATTTTCTTTTCTTTCACTCGTTTTCTTCATCGTAGCTTTTCCACGCGCCATGATCAATAAAAGAATCTAAACATAAATTATGGACAGAAAAAATTTGAATATTTATTGGTATACTACTATATTGCTTTTCGTGTTTGCCTACACTATAAAAAAAATCGGCATAGTAATCTATCCTTGCACTTAAAAATTTTGTCAATAAACCGTTCGAGGGTTCATGCTGGTGTAATCAACCCTTCAAGGGTTTAATATTCAAAGCATTTATCAGACTTAGCGTTTATAAAAGCTCAAACGGTATATAATGATTATTTGAGGGTTTATTATGAAGGTAAGAGTAGATGGTGCAACCAATATGAGTTGATTATTATACGTGTTCAACATAAGGGTATTTTATTATCCTTATTTGGGAATATTATACTACATTTAGCTTGGATGGGTACATCACTCTCTTTTCTTAGAAAGGATTTACTATCTTTTGAATAATCAGCTTGGCACTCTACGAACAAGGGTTGATTATTTTCCACGCAGAAGTTGATTATTGCACACGTCGTTGAAAGGGTTTATTATTGTATACTTTTATTGAAAAGATTTATCATTATACGGATATGAATTGATCGTACTACTTTTTTATGTGCAAAGGTTTATTATGCTACCCATAAGAGTTGATTATTCTATCACTTCATCGAAAAGCGTTGATTATTCTACATGCAAAAGTGGATCATTGTATATTTTCCTTGAAAGGATTTATTATTGTACAAATATCAATTGATCATACTACTTTTTCATGTACAAGGGTTTATTATCGTATATATAAAGGTTGATTATTCGACATGTAAAAGTTGATTATTGTACACTCTCGTTGTAAAGGTTCATTACTCTACAGTCATAAATATATTATTTAGTGTATTCGGTATAAATCGTTTATCATACTTGATGCAATGTTCATTCGTTATTAGATAAGGTTGCAAACGAAACTGACAAATAGTTATGAATGCATCAAGATATATCAGATTTAGAACTCACAACTATCATGAACAGAGAGCTGTGATAAATAAGAATAACATGATTTCAATCAAAAGCTTTTCTTTATCTCGAATTGTTTGTAGAATTACTGTTGACGGATCTTCTGTAATTATTCTGAATATATACCGAGTTACTATCACCATCTATTTAAATGTTCTACTATTCGACAAAGTAAATAGTAGCAACTGACCATTAACCAGAAGAAAAACGTCAATGATATTGTTTTTTGTAGAATTGTTTCTCTTTTATTATTCTAACAATGATATTTCTCATATACAGTTGTAAGAATATTTGTTTTTAGAATTTTAGATAATTTACAATCGTCAAATTATGAACTGATCTTGCGAACAGATTGTTCGTTGGTATAAAACATTTTTCAACGACGATGAAATTTTATCTCGAATTGAAGGTTAGTCTATTGTTATTTATTAGAAAAATGAATGCTTTTTAAAAATTGAATCCAGCTCTAAGTAATTAAGTTGTATCGCGTATTTCATAATATACGGTAGAAATGATTGATATATAATCTAAATGTAACTAAATATATACATATATATTTATTTATTTATTTATTTATTATTACTATCAATTCTATTCTTGTTGGATTGCTTGATAAACATGAAGATACCTGTTCTAATCGCTGAACATATAATTCTACACTAATATTTTTCTAATTCTTTTTATCTTCAAAAAGAAATTTCTGTTCTACTCAAATTATTTACAAAAAAATCGTTCATTTCTGCCCTAATTTTTCATTGCTGTATCGGTCGTTTTTAAAAGAAAATACATTTAAATAATCTATGCATCAAAATTACTACTACAAGTTTCTACTTTCTACAAAATAATAGCTTTATACTAACAATTTTCATTACATTACATTAAAGTACATTGGTATGCGTGAAACTGCATTAAATTGCATTAAACTGAATTAGAATGCATTAAAGTGAATCAAACTGTATTTAGTTACTTAACAGTCTCGCTAATGATGTGACAAAACACACATTAGAATGCATTAAAATTGTAAAAGACTATGTGATTATGTATTATTAAAGAAAGATGTATAATAGCTTAAAGAATTAAAAACGCATTGATAATCCAACATCAAAAATTAGATACTAGCTAAAAAGTGGAAAATATTACCAAAAATAAATTTATGTTCAAACTCGTTGTTTCTGCAATATTGAACTATTTTGTTTTTCATGCTCTTATAATTTTATTTTTTGATTTCTAGTATAGCTGGTTTTTGTTACTGAAATTTTTTGTAACTATGATTAATTAAATCTGCTCAACAAAAAATGCTTGAAAAAACAATTCGTAAGTTCACACATAAATTTTTTTCTTATATCAATTTGTCGTCTGTTTCCCTTTTTATTCATTTAGTTACATATTTATTTTGTCTATTATTATTCTATTTTTTTTATTTTATTAATATCAATAAAAATCATTTCGAAAATTAAAAAAAGAAAATTTTTAAAAATACTTATGATACTATAGATATATGTATAATATCGTCAACTTTATTCTTGCTAACTTATTTTACAAATGTAAGTTGTTCTAGAAAAGCCTTAGAAATTATCTTAACTTATACAAAATAGTCAATTTCACGTTATACAACTGTGGATAATGATATAGTTGAATAATCATTTTGAGAACCTTGATGAAACTATTTGTACGACAGTTTAAATCTGAAAGAGTCTGGAAAAATAAGTTTTTGATGGGATGTATCTATCTAAGCATATAAAAGAAGAAAGTTATACTACATGCAGGTCATGTATATATTTGTATTAAATAATTCATTACATTTCGTTTTCTTTCTAGTCGTTAGGCTATGAGGTACATCTTTTGCATATGTGGCGTTATTTGATGCGTTCTTCTAATCAACCGTATATTCTCAGTACTTTTTTCTTTTCTGTTGTTACTTATTTATATCATATGATATATTTTCACGCGAAAAGATTTGTTTTTGTTAGGACGTACCAGGCATCGGTCATTGTTCGTGTATATTCGCATGATATCATTATCAGAAATCATCTTTATATGTGAATACTAATTCAAAAAAAGTGCCTCGTTTTCTTTGTATATATGCAGCTATATAAGGTGTCGAGATTAACTAGAAATGCTATCTGCCTATAATTATATACAATTGTAAAAGTTTATTTCAGAATTTTAGGTAATTTATAATCGTCAAGTTATGAATTGGTCTTGTGAACAGGTTATTGGTTGGTGTAAAACTTTTCTCGACGATGATGGAATTTTATCTCGAATGGAAGGTCAGTTTATTGTCATTTATTCGAAGAGTGCATGCTGTTTCTTATAGTTGAATCTTTTTTTAATATTTAAGTTCTATCGCGTATTTCGTAATATAAAGTAGAAATCATCGCTATGTAAAAAAAACATAACTGAACATATTCTTGTATTTTCTAGTTTAGTTCTTCTCTTACGCTTTTTTTCCTACTAAAATAGATGTATACGTTTATGCGATATCCTAGAATTGAATAGTTCGTTGCGTTTTAATTTATTGATTTATATTACTTTACTGTTGCTTGTTTATTTATTCATCGTATTCCGTAATCAATCATACATTAAAAATCTAAACTAAAATTACCGCATATATTCATTAAACTACACATAAACTTTATAATTCTTTTTATCTTGATCTATTGGAAAAAATATTGAAATCAGATGTCGTCTTATATATGTTCACTTTGCTCGACGAATCGAGAGCTCACAAGTTTTGCAAAAATGTTTCGACACATTACGCTGTATCATCAGAATGAATCAAAATTTGAAATGACATGTGATTTGCATAGCACATGCGGTGTTTTATATCGAACATATTCAGCATACAAATCACACATATACCGAAAACATTTAACTGAATTACATTCGATAGAAGAAATCAGCAATACATTTTCAATTAATGATCAACAAAAGGAAGATACGAATTTTATCAATGAAACTGATTCATTCAATACTTATGATAACAATCCATTAGGTTCTGTTACTGATATTCTAGAAGCAATGTTATCAAACGATTATTCATATAATAATACATCAGATTTTGATATAAATCTTAGTAATGAAGAAAACATTGGTTCAATAAAAGATATAAAAAAATCGTATGTTTTATTTATACTACAATTACGTGAAGAATTCTTACTCCCGAAAAACGTTACAAATGTTATTGCTACGTACATTACAACATTAATCGATCATATCAAAATTCTATCTGAAAAAAAATCTTTTAATATTCCAGTAGAAAGTCGTTTATCTACATCACCAATGTCTCAACATCATACTACAAAAGCTATTAATTTCAATCACTTATTAGATTTATTCGTTGATATACGTGGAGCAATTGAATGTATAACTAAAAATGAATATCAGTTTATGAAATATTGTTCGGATTATTTCGGTTACAACTCAGTTCAGGAAATTAATGTATCATCTAATGGTGAAGTTCCAGATTGTGGATATTTTATCCCTATTGATGAAACATTATCTTTAATGTTAAATTCTCAAATGTTAGTTTCGAAAATTTTTGAAAATATTGATCAACAACAGTCAATAGTTCAATCAGACGGTGACTTGATGTTTTCGATACGTGACTCTTATAATGGGCTACAGATAGATGATGATCATCTATTAATTCAACTTTATCTAGATGATATTAGTCTCACAAATCCTTTAGGATCAAAACGCGATCGACACAAGATGTCTATGATATATTTCATGTTGGAAGATATACCAGATCAATACCGGTCAAAACTCGATTTCATACAGTTAGTGGCTATTTGCGAAAGTAGAATTTTAAAGGTAAAAATCACATGAAAATTTTCTAGGCAAATAACTGTTTGTAAACGAGAGAAGTTTTTCTACGATTTCGAAATTAATTAAACCCGTTTTTATTTTCTATGAATCTTTTTTCACTTGATTTTCTTGAAAAATTATAAATTTCTCTGGTCTTTTATTTGTATTTATGATACTATAGAAGATCTATACTTGATAAAGCTCACTTAAAAACGACGAATACATACAATGAGAAATTAGTAATATGTTGAGTTTTCTATTTTTTTTTGAGGATAATATTAAATCCAAGCGCTTTTTTCAACCAATTATTGAAAATTTAAATTATTTACAATTGAATGGTCTAATGATTAATGGTGTTAGATTTAAATTTACATTTTCAACTGTTGTTGGCGACAATCTGGCGGCGAACTGGTTAGGGGGATTCCAATGTTGTTTCAATACCGGATACTTTTGTAGACGCTGTTTGATCAACTATTCAGACAAGAACTCACCAACTCCATTATCACAAATAAAATCTCGGACAAGGAGCGATCATGATTTATTAGTAGAAGAGATTTTCAATGATCCAAATAAATCTTCTTCTATGGGAGTAGTCCACCGAAGTCCATTACACAATCTAATTGGCTTTTATGCGACCATTTCTTTACCTGGAGATTGTATGCACGACTTCCTGGAGGGCATGTGCCCGATAGTGATGATGTCTATATTAAAACAAGCCTCATTAATGCGCCTGACAACGTATGGTGAGAAAAGAATTATTTATTTGAGATTGTCTTACATCTGTCGGAATCGTTTCTGAATTTTTTATAACTAAATTTTCTATCGACTGGTTCTATAACTGAATTTTCTATCGATTGATTTATAACTAAATTTTATATGGACTGGTTTTATGATCAAGTGTTATATCGACTGATTTTATAACTGAATTTTATATCAATTCAAGATTAGTACTTAATTTTTGTACCATTACATCATATTATAAATGAGAAAGTTAATGATATATTGATTGAAATATAGATATTCTTTATCGAACTCGTAGCAGAATCACATAATTCTGTTTGACTGTTTGCCCTAGTTTTCTAAAATACAGCTCGATAATCGTCAACGATGAGTTTTGATTATTAAAATATATCATTTTTTTCACCTTTCAAGCTCGGATTCATGAACGAATGCTCAATTTTCCTTACGGATATTTTGACACCAGTAGCCGACCACCACCAATACAAATTAAACACTTACAAAATGAACGTATTATTGCGACCGCAACTGAAAAATTATGTCTTTTTAAACTTTTTCCATTAATATTTCATGAGATTATTGATAAATTACCATCATTTACTGTTTATAAAATCCTACGCGAAATCCTCGATTTAGTTTTTTCAAGCCCATTTCGCAAAAAATGGTTGCCCATTCTTAACGAATTATGTGATGCATTTCATGACGCCATGTTATTATACTTTCCAGACAAAATTATACCCAAAAGTCACTTTATTAGAGAATATGGAAAGATTATACACGATTTTGGTCCTGCTACACGCTACTGGTGCATGCGTTATGAAGCATCACATGCTTATTTTAAGAAACTAGCAGCACGTACAAATAACTTTAAAAATACTCCTAAAATGCTTACCACTCATTTTCGTCTTAAACAATGCTTCAAATTCACTCATTTCTCTCAAATCAAAAATTTATATTACTCTGTCGGTATGAAAAAAATTCAATCTTCATCTTTCAATGTGTAAATGAAAAACGTTTTATTCGATCATTTTGGTTGTATTGACTTTAACAATGATGTTTTGCAATGTAAAAAATTAATTAACGAAAATATTGAATATTATAAATCAGCTGTGTATGTAATTAACCTAAGAGATGATAGTGAACAACCAATATTTGCGCAAATAGTGTTTATTATTAAAGTAAAAGAAAAATGGTGGTTATTGGTCGATCTACTTAACACTGTGTGTTTTGATGAGGATTTATTCGCTTGGAAAGTAAAATCGGTCGATTGCTATTCTGTTTTAAATCCATGTGAATTACGATATTATTGTAAAGGGTTGGATATCTATCACTTGAAAAATTCAAGTTTTGTTTCATTTACTAGTCACCTAACATTGTATTAGTGAAAATGAGAGATCGATATTGTTTTAGAACTAAAATCTTACTATAATTTTATATAGTTTTGTCGTGAAAGTCTAAATCTCTTTTATTTTATTTGTCTTGCATTTTGTATCGTAAATCTTACGATTATAGTAAAAGAATATATATCTTGATTATCACAAAGATTGTATTTTATATTGATTTCTAACTTTTGATTGTAGATACGGCATTCTTTAGCCTATAAATTTGACAAATAATATCTTTTAGATGATTTATCCTCATGATAATAGTGAAAATAAAATGATCAAGATTTATTTTCTAACATATTATATAATCTAATTTTAGACTGTAAGTTTGAAACAGTATCACTCTATCAGAAGCAGTTGTCATTTTTTCTTATGTGATGTATATCCAGTTTTCTATTTTCGTTTTCTATATCTGTTATAAAAAAATCTCTATTCTATCTTTCTAAATTTGTTATTCAAGGTTTTGATATAAATAGAAACATAATACTATCAAAATACAACTATTATTTATTTACTTTCTAGAGTATGAAATTGATGGTCCAACATTAAAAATAATGAATAATGTCGAAAGAATTTCATTGATTATACCAAAGTTTAAACAGCAATTGATCTTTTTAGAAGAACGAGAGAAATTATTTAAACAAAATAATGATATTTTAATTGAATGTAATATTTCCTCATCATTTATTCCACCCAATGCTCAATCATCGTCAATTATTGCAACAAATTCTCAATTATCGCCTGATTGTTTACCAAAATCACCTAATAATAATTCAACATCTGATCAGTTTAACAATTCAACATTTAATCAGTTTAATAATTCAGCATCTGATCAGTTTAATGATAGTACCAATATTGATGTATTATTTCCTGATGAATATAGTGTTCCATCATTACCAAGTAGTTTGATTAAAGACATTGAAGATGGAGCTTTACACAAGTTTGGTCCACACTATTCAAATCGTCAAATTCTGATTGACGCAATTAGTTATGATCTTATCGAGAACTATAAACTATTGTAAGTCGTACTCTAAAATAAACTGCATAGGTTTCTGGCGAGAACATAGGTGTACATGTTATTCATTTTTCTGACGCATTAAAAATAATCGTTCACATTATTTTTTGGAGATAAATTATCAGAAACTCACAACATATGCTTCCTTTGCCGACGTTAGTTTTCTCTACACTGTAAAATTTTATCGATTTCATCGTTTTATTTCATTGACTTACGGGCTGTCGCCAAGTATATTTTATGTGATTAATAATTTCTTTTTTAAGAGTTGTTACAAAATAATTACTCGTACAATAATTTTTTTCAAAGCATATGCGAGGATCATTTATATTAATAGTTAAATCGAATATTTCAATGAAATAATTTAATGAATTCTTATGTTCATTTCTAATATGTATTCTATTTCTAAATGAAAGTATTTACATTAAACTATATATTAGTGTTATAGTGTCATTGAGATATATGTATTTTTTTTCTTTCTCTGTTTTCTCTTCTAGTATAGATGACATATACGATACATATATATGTCATGTATGTCGTCTATACGAGAAGAGAAAGAGAAGAGAAAGAAAAAATATATCTCAATGACAGTATAACCATTAGTTTTCAGCAAAAGCTTTTACAAGTCGAAGAACTTTATTCTTAATTCTTTTCTTAAACTTTCTTTTTATTTGTATTTAGTTATCCATCATCTACACAATTTGATATTATTGGTTATGCAATCGTCAAGTTTCTAAAATTACCTCCAACAAAAAATAATATTGTAAGATCATTCATCAGCTTTAGTTGAAATTATCTGTCTGTTCGTATAGAGTATCTGGAAAGATGCACTACAAACTAAATTGAAAAGAAAACGTACTGAAAATTTGGAGAATGTTATTGTTCAAAATTATCGTTTAAAATATTCGTATGCAGGATCAGGACGTCCTGTAAAACGAAGATTCAATGAATTAGCAAAGAGAGATCGACATATACAGGTAAATTGAAACTTAATACTTTGTTATTTTTTACTTTTGTTTTCTAGATGTTAATTTTACCTAACAACGATGAAAAACCAGATGAAATTGAAGCAAAAGCAAATCAACTACGAAACATGTCTCCAACTGATGTGCTTACTCAATTAAAACTATGGAAAGAAACTTTACATTTTCGTCGGCAATCAATAAAAGATCATACAACAGAAGATATTATTAAAGATTTTCCAGGTTATTCAAATTCATTACTGGTAAATAAATTTATTTTTCTTTAATTTATTGTACTGAACGAGCTTATTATTTTCATAGATATTTGAAGAAGTCAAGTTGTTAACAAAAATTGATTTACCTACAGCTGTACGACGACAAATACCCGAGCTGCTCAATAAAATGCTTTCAGTACCTTTATTCATAACTGGTAGATAAATAAATTTAATTTTAATATAGAAAATTACATTTGAGTTTTAGAATCAACAGCGATTCGACTGATAAAAATTTTATGTAAAGAATTTCGTGAACCTGTTCAAAATCTATTTTGCAATGATGTAAGTTTGTTTATATTATTTAGAATCGATCTTTTAGTTGATTTATTTAGAACGTTTGAGTAGTAAAAGTTCTTAGGTTAGTTTGAGTTAATGAATATCAATGAATAAATGATTCATATATGAATATATGACCAATAGTAGATAGATATACAGATCATCATATTTAAAATTAAAAGAATTGTAATGGATATTCGTTCTATCCAACAGTATCATCTCGATGATTCATTTATTTTTAACACAATATTTAATTATTTAAGCAATTTCTTATATTGAAAATGCCAGAAAGATTATTTTATTTAGGAACCTTCATCACCATATCCTATGTTGGTCTGCATCAATAATGTTATTCATATTTATGTGGATTTTATCTCTATTCTCTCGACAACTTATGTTGATGATGCATTTGCACTTCTTATTGCTATGTATACAATATTTGGTTTAACATTTGATAGAAAAAGTCGTGTTGTTAGACTTCTGTATTCAGTATTACATGGTGAAACGAAATATTTAACCAATTCTGTTCGTATCTTTATCAAAGAAAAAAACATAGACATTTATGCTGAACAACAACATCAGCTGAAGCAACATCAATCCGTATTAAATTCTTCATCAAATGATTCAACAGAACTTATAGATGAATCTCAACCACAATCACAATTACAAATAATTTCACCAAGTGCTTCTTCGACTAAAATTAATTCTCTTGCTACTGATCAATCAACAGAAACACAATCTACAAATGATAATCCTGATTCTATTTTAAATGCATCATTTGATACGAACGAGTAAGCTGTGATTTCTTAATTTATTTGGGTGTGGTGTTAAATGTCGAAAGGGAAAATGTCGAATAGGAAAAATGTCGAACAAAAAGAAGGCAAATATCGAAAAGGAAAAAATATATAGTGTAAAGACCGAAAAAACTGATGTCGAATAGAATAGATAATCTGTAGGAAAAAATAGAAAGGAAAATGTCAACAGACAAAATATCGAAAATGAAGTTTTTAATTTTTATTTTAATATGACACGATGAATAATTTTATTGGTTCGAACAATTAACACATTAAAAAAAATGAAAAAAAAATAAAAGAAGACAAGAAGTTTCATTATTAGTTCTTGGATCCTCCAATCAGCATACCGAAGCCATGTAGTAACTGTTTTGCATTGATTTCATCATTGTGAAATCTCGTTTTGAGATTCTCGAATCGTTTTTGAAAAGCAGTCGTTCGAGTCGTTTCTCTCGATGTAGCAGCACCAGCATTGATTTGAACTATCAAATGTTCGATTCGAGCATTTTCACTTTGGATTAGTTGTATAAAAGTCCAAACGTTTGGATATTTTTTCAAAATCCGAGAACCAAACCGCCGATTATAGGCTACATAATATGAGGTATAAAAGATCAAATATTTTTATTTTTCTGATTAAATTATGTGCTTACCCTCAGATATATTATTGGTACGATGATTCAGCTCATGAAAGTTCCACATAGCCAACGGAACATTTCCATTGATCCACTGACGGTGAAAATAAATGAATAAATCATCTAATGATGATGATGCTATATTACGAAGACGTCCAAATTGACGTTCAACTTCATGTACTGGCATTAAACTTAAAGCAATTAACTGCTTACATTGTTCACGTGTTTCAGCACATCGGGTATAATCATCGTTTAAACCTAGACTCATTATTTTGCGATGGACTGTTTGTATAAAATGAAACAGACAACCGGTGTGTATTGCTTCAGAAAACTAAAACAAGAATTAACCGTATCTATCTTATGTGACAAAACAAATGAGTACTTACTTCTTGTCGAACCGCTGGCATCAAAGCTGTTTCGAAGTCGGAGACAATATTCGTTGGTTGAAATTGCATGCCTAGTACTTCAGCTTCATGCTTAAGTCGTTGGAATAATTCAATATACGTAGCTGCCCGTCGATTTGACATCAGACAATAAGCCACTGGTAAACCTTATAATAAAAAAACAAAGATTCATTCAAAAATTTAAATAACTTCAACAATTTACCTTGACCAAAATATTCAACATGGATTAAAAAAACTTGTTCGAAGCCAGATGGTGCAACACTAAACGTTCCATCCATAAAGATGGTTGTACTCGTAAATAAGAGCTGAAGTTGTTGGGTAGTTGCATACACGATTACACGTTCTTTTGAACGTTTTAAATAAAAATCCATAAGTAAAAATTGTTTATTTGACAAAGTTTTCTGATATGAATCTGGAATTTCGAAGACACATGAAGTTGGAACGACAGGTGTTTTTTTTCGTCGCGCTTTGCTCATGTTTGAACCTAATAAGGAAAACAAAATTAATCTGAAGTTTTTACAGCCTTTCTAGTGTAAAATACGTACGATATTCAATTACAGTTGGAAATTGCGCGGCAATTGATTCAGTTAAACCAGCTTTAGCAATTTCTTCATCGTATATTCTTGTAATAGAAGTTGTTTCATGTATAATACGACTTTTCATTTTTGCTCTTAATATTCTCATTTCAAGTATATCTGGATTTGCAACATGATTATGATTACCAACAATTGTTAAAAATTCATCATTTAAATTGGTATGAATAAATACACGACATGTTTTTTCAACACAAATCCAATATCGTTTCGATGACGTTGCTTTATTACACTTGAAAATATAATCATAGAAATACAGTAATCGTTTTCCTTTATTCGATTCAAAAAACGAAACGTTTATTGATGATGATGATGATGATGGAGAACTACACCGACTATTGTCTGTTGATGAGGATGGAGAACCATATAAACTATCTGCTGTTGTTGACATGTCGATATTGGTTTGTATTCGAAGAATCTAAAATAAATATATATAAATAGAGAAAATGACTTGATTAAATACTGTGCCAAACAAAGAACTTATTCACGAGAGATGACTATGGTCTGTGCGGTCGATAGGATTACATTTTTAACAGTTAACAATACATACAAAGAAGATGACTATAGGCTGTGCGGTTGATAAGATTACATAATTTAAACAGTTAACAATACATACAAAGAAGATGACTAGTCTTTCCAGACGATGTGGTTAAACTTAACAGTGATAGCCAATAGTAATTACAATAATAAAATAACGACCAGTATAGACATCTTTTTAAAATCATTTTTTTATTTTTTCTATATTTTCCTTTCTACATTTTCCTTTCACTCCGTTCATGCATATGTTTGTTTCTATGTTTTCCACTTTTCTATATTTACCTTTCGATATTTTCCTATTTATCATTGAAATCTTCACTAATGTTACTTTCGATATTTTCCTATTTTTTTTTCTACTTTTCCCTTTTCGACATTTTTTTTTTTCGACATTTTACGTCAATCCCATTTATTTATGTCATAATATTAACTATTTTGTTTCGTATAGAAATAACTACAATCATATTCAAATCTCATCACCGCCATCACCATCATTATCAAACATGAGTTCACAAAAGCAAATACAACCACGAAAAGGACGAAAAAGAAACTTAAGCATTAATAATAAAAAATCTCTACACTTGACTACTGATGAAACAAATGATCATTCACATAAAATAGCAAATTCTGTTCCATTAGAAGATCTTACTAATTCAATAAGTACGTCACGACCAAAACGAACAAAAAGATTATAAATAATATTCGTTCATTGCAATTGTTTACATGTTCGGATTTTTTTTAATTTATTTGCTACAACAAATGTTGTCCTTTCAAAATGTATTTTCTCTGTTATTAATCTGTTCTTCGTTTCTATCAGGCACTTATTCTTTAATATAAAATCTAGTTAATCATAAAGATATTCAATTCTTCTATATTAAACCTTTTTTATCTTTAAGTTTGAGAAAAATAATCATCGATGACTTTATATGAATATCTAAATCAGTTCAAAATGTATTTTTTTTTTCTATTGTTTATTTCTTCTTAACATCATTCACTATCTATTCTTTTATATAAAACCTAGTTGATCATAAAGATATTCAATTCTTCTATATTAAACCTTTTTTATCTTTAAGTTTGAGAAAAAATAATCATATCGATGACTTCATATGTACATCTAAAACATTTAAAATGTGATTTTTTCTGTTATGAATTTCATTTTCAATTACATTTGTCATTTTTTCTTCTATATAAATCCAAGTTAACCGCTAAGATATTTAATTCTTCTATATTAAACTTATTTTTACTAGTAAGTTTGAGAAAAATAATTATATCGATGATTTTATGTCTACATCTAAAGGAAAA